CCCAAACAACACACTCTTTTCTCCTTACAATAGTAGAGAAAAGCTACCAGCTTACACGATAAGGACTGGTAGCTTTTCTCTACTATTGTAAGGACAAAACATGCTGTTGTTCGGGCCAATCTAGGGTTATGTAGGACCCTCTCTTATATGGCCCGGACAGTAGTAGGTTTTATTCTTACAATAGGATCTGCATCAAAACGGGGTACCAGTCAAAATTGTAACCCCCATATATAGAATAATAGAAAATTTAAAGCTCTATCACAATGTATAATTCATTTTTTGCAAATTCATTTATAGAGTAAGTATATTTTGAAAAAAAGGAAAAAATAACAATTTTCGATAATTGTCAATTGACGGTGCACTCATTGTACTTAAATTTTCTTTTTGATAATTCAATATAATGAAACAAGTAAATATAAAGAGTGATAAAGAGTTTCAAGCTCTATCAGAATATATAATTACTTTTTACACAAGATACCTATATAATAATGAAAAATTTTAAAAACTAATTTTTGTGACAGTGACAAACTCAAATCTTTGGAAATCTAGATCTATGGGTGTCTTTATTATACTCAATTTGTTTTCATAATATATAAATTCAAACGAAAAAGCAAATATATACATTGATAGAAAAATTTCACGGACTTTCAGAATGTATCATTATTTTTCAAAAACCGTATGCTGCTATGGTAACGATATCCCAAAATATAGACTAATGTTTATTTTTGCAGGCGTATATATCAAAATGAATGAAATAAATTCAAAATTTGTTTTGAAATTCTTTTTCTGAAAGAAAATTATGCTAAAGTTACTTTTGTTTTATATAGAAAACATTATCTTTTTAAATGCAAATAAAAAGTTTGTAAAACTAGTAGGAATGAATGTATATGTACCAATATTTTCGGTTTTTGACACTATGAAATCTCAAAAGAAAATCTTATCAGATAAAAAGTTCTGTGAAAGGCATATACCCTGATGGTGATGGCTTAGAAAATAATACTAACTAATTCTGTCTTCTTTTATTTTGTTTTCTTATAAGATGAAATAATTTAATTAATATTCATTATTATTATAGTTGAATAGTTTATTCTATATGAAAGACAACATTTTATTTTCGTCTTTGATTAAAAAAACCTTTTTATATATCAGAAATATGAAATGTTTTCGAGAAATCTATGAAAAGTTAAAACTTTTTTTGTTCTTCTCATGTTATGATGTTATATTTTCTAGAATGCATTCTCGAAAAATGAATCTAATTGATTAATGATATTCTCTCCAGTGAAAAATATTTTTGAAAATAACGGAAGGGAATGTATTCTTAACTAGATGGCAACCGAGTTCATACCTGGGTTGCGAAATGCGGTGCGAAGCGCTACTTCTCGTAAATCTAAGAAGCCAATGTTAAAAAAATACAGAAAGTTTTTATTGGTTCTTACGCAGTTTTTTGAAATAGAGAACATTTGTTATAGAAATACGATTATTTAATACGCAAAGAAAATGAGAGCATGTATCAAGGGGGAATCGGCGGATTGCCAGAATTACCAATCCCACGGCAATTCCAGCAATCCAGGCAATCCTGGCAATCCCATTGGAATCCAATGGAAATCCTTGAATTAGCTGATGTGGATGTGTGAAAAATACCGCAATTATAGCTCATGTTCATACATATAAGATGCAACTTCATTCAATTAACATTTCTAAAACCATTGCTCTAAGAAAATAATGTAAAGATGAAGAATATAACTCATTTCTAAATGCGACATCGAATTTCTTTAAGAATTTACGCACCAAAAGCCAAAAAATAGCCAATTTCATGGTAACCTTGAGAAATCACAAGAGTTTCTAATCCTGGTAGAGAATATAACATAATAGTTTCGAATGAAATAAGCCGAAAGCTGGACATTATGAAACATGAAACTTCAACGAGCCGGATGTCGACCTAACATGATTTTATCTTCTTGTGAAACTAAGCAGAAAACAATATATCATGCTATGCATGTTCATCGTTGAGAGGATCTAAAAACTGAGCGAATTAAAACTTTATTCAAGTCTTTCAGTTCCATATTTCTTTCATTAGGTGACAGAATAGGTATATTCTGCTAGTGTATTTTGATTCGCATTCCCTGATAGATATCCTTTCTTCTAAAGTAAAAATATTTTTCGTCTAGTTCAAACATTTATCGGTTACTTGTTATTAATTTTTACATTATGCAGTAAACTTTATAATAAAGTCTAAACTTGAAGAGGTGTGCACTTTATGAAGACAGTATAATAAATTCTGTTTTTCATTTCAATGGCTCTTTTGTTCATTTTGGTATAGTATAAAAAAGAGAAGCTTCGATTTCAAAGGTATCACATGTTTAACAGTTCAACAGCTATTTTAATGTTCATAGTTATGTGCTCACAGTATAGGAATAAATTATTTATAAGTATCCTCTTGTCGTCATTTTATCTTTAGATAGACAAACAACAGGTAAAAACTAATTCTATATCTTTGGCCTGGTAAAGTTTTCGATTAGTAATATCGCCGCTGCGTTTGAGATAGGGATGCTTTAGTTCTGCTACTGACCGGTCAACTGGGTTTCTAAATAGACTGATGCATCGTTGTCTTAAGAAAATCTATGACATAAACATGACATGCATTTATTTAAGCTTACCACACAGGATTCTGATTGTCAGATGAATCGCAGAACACTAATTATCGTTTAGATTTTATTGTTGACTATCAGCTTTTGAACAGTAGATCTTCTGGTTCGACCTCAGGTATCAGTCTACGGAAAGTATGTAACTCTTTATCATAAGATGAAAAATCAAATTAGTTTCAGTACTCCTACAGAAGTAAATTTAGGTGGACTGTAGGAACCAACGAGTCAAATAACTTTATTGTTGAGATGTGCAGTTAAACCGATTTATTTTGTCAGTTTCTTAAAACAATTCAGTCAAAACTAAACTTTTTCTGTAGCTATTTTATTAAGAAACACAAGTACTATAGATTTTTACGTATGACAATGATGAATAGAGTTCACTAGATGGGAGATTTAGGCTTCATATAGAAACTAGAATCAGGAATATGCTACAGAGCTTTTTCTTTCGAATTTTAAAACTGCACAGACTATGATGTAACGATACAACTTCTACAATGTCGCAAAGTATCTTCTGATCGTCTCACGTGTAGGAAAGTTCGCAAGACGATATTATCATTTATCGACCATTTTACTATTTATCTTTTACATCTGTTATCGATGCTACTTGTACAAGAATGAAACAAAGTGAGAAACAGTATATTTTAAAAGAGTATAGAACCCAAGATTTTTAGAAGCTCTGAAGTGGCTTACAGTCTTCACAAAATATTATCAAACTTTGCAGGGTTTCAAAACACAGGTCAGTTACTTCAGACAGAATCCGGACCGGAATCCGTTAGCCAGGATTTGTTGACCTTGGACGTTGACAAGCACTTAAAAGTTAAATTAAGCTACTCTGACATCTTTATCGTTACTTTCTATATGCGGATAACTACGGTGAATTATCATTTTAATCAATTCAGTTTATCATTTCTCCTGTTCAAATTAGTATCATCAATGGCCTAAACGCATGCAAAATACGATACGAAGTCAGTAGTTCTAATTCTAGAGCAAAAAAATTTGAATTAGTAGTAATTCATTCATAAGTCACCGCTATTTTGAATCCTGTGGAGCTGATCATTATTATTCTGGATGGAAGGAACATTATTACAGCGGCGGAAGTATTAAATCATTTAGTGAGTAATCCGTGTTTCACATAAACCATAGCAGCACGAGTAGCATCGAACTTTATTCAATCCTTCAACTGTTCCGAATCATGCTGTTCAGTTTTTTTTACTTCTAATGCTTGGATTCACGTATCCGATATTATATGTTTCATAATAGAACTTGAATTTAGGAACAGAGCTCTTTTTATAAAGTGATTGGAAAGATAAGTCATGTGGTCCGTCTCATGCTAGTGTATGTATTAGTACTTTTGTCAGTGTAGATGTAGAGCACCTTTTCTATAATCTTGTTCACAAAATCTTATTCTAGTCTCAAAAACATTACGTTTAATATGTAGATGAGAGCATTAGAAGTAAAAAGTACCCTTAACATCATAATTTGAAACACTTGTAGGGTTCAATAAAGTTCGACGCTGCTCGTGTTGCAATGGCTTATGCGAAACATAGAGTACTCACTATATGACCAAATTCTTAGGTCGACGTATCAATGTTCACTCTATTCAGAACAATAATGATCAGTTCCTCATTATGAATTTTAGCAGCGATTAATGAATCAATTACTACTATTACTACTAATTCATGTTTTTTGAGATATAACTACGAACAATGGGTATGACTGGTGATGTTTTATCACGCGGAGATCATTTTATTCGATGTATTTTGAGATGCATTCCTTCATTCCGCTTTTCGTTTAACCCTTGAGAATGCCAATAAGGAAGTAAATAAGATATATTCTTATCTTATGAGAAAATTTGTCTGAATTTCGTATTGCTCGCGTTAATTTATTGCTATGGAAGAAAAATATTATTTGACCTATATAATTCAAGGAAAACTTTGAGCCCCTGAAAAAATTTTCTAAGAAGAAACCAGACAAGTAGGCAATACAAAGACTGGAATTTCGGAACTCGAGAATTCCGAGTATTCGAGCAAAGCTCAGGCAATCCAATACGTATATAGTCTGTTTTGTTTCCCTTCCGATTACAGTGCATTGAAAATTTCATTCAAGCTCTGAGTGTCACGAAGGACAACACAAAGACTTCATTCAAACAGTCAATCTCCAAATTATCTTGTAATCGTTTCGTGTTTGATAATTTAAGAAAGGCTATTCATCAAAGTTATGATCTGGTTTAACACCTTCTTTCGGGGTTTGATGTTTAGTTTGCTGAGAAGAACATGAGAAGATCTGCGATAACGCTAAGTAGATCATTTATGCAAGTCTGGCTTGAGAAAAATCCGTGTTGTTTCATATGACGAAAGCCACTACAATTTATTGGATCAAGACTCAAACCAATACGTAAACTCTTATGTTGCTTTTTTTATTGAAATCAGACAAATATAGCTGATCGTTGGACATAATTTATGGTTTCTCTTCTTTGTCAGTTAGCGAAAAATCTTAACTTCAGCTCATAAGAGTCTCGAAAGGATTTTCTCTTTCACTCTGAAACTCTCTTCTCTGGTCTGGAAATTGGTGTCAAAACAATATAGACATATATAGAAAGCCTCTTGCTTTATGTCAGAAAGTACCATTGCACTGCTATGCAATCGACTCAGGCATATTCTACCATCAGATAACTAAATGAATAAACAGTTACAGCTGAGATGCTGTAGATTCACTAGATACGGTGTGTCTCTTCTATTACTCATTGATTTGTCTAATGTCTCGTTGCTCTTTGTTATTCTGCCTGATGCATTTTGCGAGAAAAATATGAAAGTAACCAGCTCTATTTTAAAAATCGATTTTATAAGTACTCATCTCATTACTAAATGTCTAGAACTTTCAAGACAAACAATATTTTGCTCCAATAGCGTTATACAGCTTTTTAAACTGTATTACAGAGCAATGAAGCCCTGACTCTAACTCCTATGAGACTTTTAGAACTATAATTAAGATCCTAGAGATCCAATATGAATTTCGAGAATGCAAATTATTATTTTAAATGTTCCGTAAATCCCACGGAAATCCATAGTAATCCCGGCAATCCCATGGTAATCTCGGCAATCCCGGAAATCCGAAATCTGCCGTTTCCCCCTTGGCATGTATGCTCGTAGTTAGTTTTAAATTCGAGTAAAACGTTTTTCGAAAAATTTATGTGAAAACGCAACAATATAAAATAAATGTGTTGTTGTCATTACGAAAAACAGCATTTGATGGTTCTGTAAAAGTTTAAGAACTAAAAAAATCCTTTATCTGATATATCGTGTAGTAATAAAAATTATGTAGACAATTTTTTTTGAAAAGTATTGATTTATTGTAATCAATATTTCTAAATTTCGTGGTTAACGTTAAATCAAATTTATCGTCTCATTTCTTCTGTTGGAAATTTTTCATATCAGTCTTCATTAAAATAGCCTTACCCACTAGAACCTTTTTTTGTTTATATACTTTGGAACAAATTTTACAGAAGATATTCTGGTTGTCTTACAGTACCATCGTTACACTTATTATGAGAATCAGTAAAAAAATTAATCTGTTATAACTACAACTAATTTAAATTTTTACACAAAGTTGTTTTGTACAAAATCTAATTCTTATTTTCATAAAAGTTGAATTTCATATGAATCTTTACAGTTTCTATAAAATTGTACAAGTCATAGAATTTGGTTTAACATGTAACATATTATTTATTAAAATTAAAAAAAACCGAAAGTTGATATTTGCTTTTTTTTGATATAATATAAGATTTGATAAAAATTATAACAAATGAATCTAACTAGTGGACTTATACTAAAGAAAGTACTTTTTGAACGATAATAAAAATTAGAATAAAAATTAAAAAAAACAAGAAGAACAGTTTATTTATTATTCTTAAACAGACACATTGAATTTCATCAATATTAACTTCGGTTCGGTTTTGTTGCGTTAATGAATAATTTCAATCTATAAAAATAAAGAATAATTTGAATACAGAAAAGAATTTTAAGTTACAAAGTATCTTGAAATAGTTTAGATTTGTTATTAACTATTTGTTGCCGATTGTTAATTTTGAACGATTTTGTACTATCTGATTTTATATCGAAATCTTTCAACAATTCGATATAAATTGTTTTTTTCCTTTTTTTCTACAACGAGATCATAATAGAATAAAGATTAAATTTACATGAATTACCGTTAACGATTTTAAATCTACAACGATCACCTATATTAATATGTCGTATTTTACGAAAACTAATTATATCTGTTTTATGAAAAAATATGTCTGCATTTTTCTCAAACACTTTTGGTGACCTATTAATAAAAAATTAAGCTTGTATTATTTTCAATAGAATTAAATAAAATGATGTACATTCGAATAAGTCCGAATTTTTTATGAGGATAGTAATTTACGAAAAAAGCAAGATGAAATCGATTTTCTTCAGGTTCTACATTAAGAACGCTTTCTGATGTTGCATGCTAGTTAAATAAATTAATATTTTATATAAAACAATATATAAATAGAGATAAATTTACTTGATCTTCTGATTCATGGAAAGAAATAATTTCTTCATCGTTTTGAAAATTGTTACTAGACATGATTACCTTAAGTTGAATTAAATAATAGTAAAATCTGAAATTATTCGATCAATTTTAAAACTTTGCAATTCCTTTATGAATCTTCATTATTTATTCTTGTTTATTGTAAATTTTAGTAGCTATTTGTTACATGAACAACAAATTCAGTTTGTAATAATTAATTCAACTGAATAGTTCTTCAGAAATCACCAAAATTCCGAGTTTAATCTTTAGTTATTTCAAGTATTTGACGGCGAAAAATACTTATTTTCATCTTCCAGGACCCATTTAATAATAATAATTCAGAAATATCTTCGTTTTTCAAATGTTGATCGGATCGTTGAGTATTTAGAAAATTGTTTAAAAGACCTTTTATTGTCCAAAAGGTCATTTTAATACCATCATCCATTATATAAAAGCATCAAATTAGTACTTTTCTTACGGAATGTCCAGATTAAATTCAACCAAAAGTAGCAACTAGATAGAGTTAGATTTTTCAAATGTTTTATATTTACCTATCTCAATGGTTATGCTTATTTGCATATTGTTTTTGTTGTTCGCCACGGTCTTTTAGCATCCAATACACTTTATAAGATGTGGCTTTGATGCCACAGGTACCATAGTTTGTCTACAGATAGAACCTGAACTATCTTCTTTTAGATCCCCGACTTCGTCGATAATAGTAGATATTGTTATTAAATCAATTAATTTAATAGACATTGTGTCGTCAAGATCATCTAAATTGGTTGTTATCTCCTAAAAGAAAACATTTTTTTCAAATATCTTTGAAGGGCTTAGATTTTTAAATTCGCAAATAGTTGTATTTGATGTTGATGTTAAAATTATCGAATTATAGATTTTTTAAAATTTTTATATTTGTTAAGCTATAACTTTTATGTAACTCGACTACATCAATTAGTTGATCATATATAATTAAAATACTTGTTGAAGAATCATCGCCTATAATATAAGTTTTGTATTTGTATTCTTTACCATCTTGCTCGTAATTAACTATTGGATTTTCATTTAAAACTTTAACTGCAATTCTGGATGGATTTTCAGAATTAAGTGCATCACGGATCGATATGTTTACTGTTGCATTTTTAGGTAATTTAGCACTACTTTTTGTAATATTTATTGGTTGATCATATTTATTCATTAGAAAAATTTTCATTGTACGTTTACCACCTATCGCAAAATATAAAACTAGTATAGAATTGGAATAAAAAAGAATATTCAATACTTCATAAATTCAACAATTGTGATTCTATATGTAGCTAGTGTCTAATTATACGGTACATAATATTTATGATCTTATTTCCTAATTAGTAACTATCGTTAAGTTGATCATTCTCAACAGTACTGTGTTATGTTCCTTCTTCGACTTGTTTCTTTTCTATCGATGTCACATGTCGTGTTCTTTATTATTCTTCTATCTTATTTGTTTACTTTCTTTTTATGCTGTCTGATTAATTGCAGTTTATTCTTCATTTGATCAATATACCAAATTTTCAAAATTAGAACTCCACACATTTCATTATTTTTTCTTGTCTTTTCACTTTTTCAATCAAATTTTGATATGTTTCTATATTTTTTATAACAAGTATATAATACGATTTCGCAAAGCTTTCTCTATCTTAACAATACCTGTTTTACTATTGATCTTTTCTTTTATTGTAACAGCTGCTTGTTTTTCAACAGCTTCAGTCAATACATTTCCAACTCTTGTTTGTTCAAATGGAGCACTTGACAAAATCCATGCAGAAATATGTTCTTTTTCTGCTGTAATAATTGTTAACCGTTTATAAAACTTAACAAGACCACGTTTTTGTCAACTCAAAAAGTGAGTACACTCTAGAATCGGTCAGTGTGTCTGTCCGTCCGTTTACATGATAGCTTTTGAAAGGACAGTTAGATCATGATGAAATTTTCTATACAGTTTAGTCTTATCAATGTCTCGGTGGAGTTCGAAGATGAGCCTGATTGGAGGAGCTCTTCCTGAGTTATTGCAAAAATACTGATTTTTCCCTATGGTCTCTTATGCGAAAACCGAGCTATATCCGCTTTCATAAAAACCTTTTCTTATAATAGTCAAAATAAAACCTCAACTATTATATACCATTCGATAGAGAATTTCACGAGCTACAAATGGTATATAACCAAGGGGGAAACATCATACTTTTGTACTTTAAAGTACATGAAGCACCTTAAAGTACGGTAAAGTACGGCAAAGTACTCCACAGTACGGTAAAGTACCTCAAAATACTGTACAGTACCTAAAAGTACGGTAAAGTACGGTAAAATACTTTAAGGTACCTCAAACTATATCAAGATAATTCAAAATACCTTGAAATACTGTAAACTTTGTGGACGAACATTACACTGCAATACTAGTAATATTACTGGTAAACGTTTACCATAGTGTGATAAGATCATTGGTGACGAATTTATAACAATGGCGAAACCTTGCTTAACCTTTTAATCAAGGAAACACATTTCGAAAAAATAAAGATTTTGTGTAAGGTTGGACGAAAGTAAATTGAAGCAGCCCAGAGCATTAATAAATGAAAAAAAATGGTATATTTCATGATAAAACGAGTATAATCATGTATGTTATCGATTTTCATCGATTGAAATAAAACTTTTACAATTTTCATTTCTCGATTTTGTTTTTTAAAGCAAATCAGGAAATGAATTTGCTGAAAATAAATTTTCATTTTAATCGATAACAGTCGCAAACATACATGATTGTGTTCATTTCATCGTGCCAAGTGCCGTTTTTTTTTCCTTTTTTAAAATGAAGTTCACCATTATCCCCATATTTTTATTCCATGGGAGCTATATCCAACTCTTCAATTGGTTTCTCAAAACTTCGAAGTGGATTTTGGACTAAAGAAGGAATATTTCAGGGAAATGACGCTTGCTTATAAAGATTGACAAAATCCAATCAAGAATAAAGAATCGGAATCTGCAATTGATTTCTCAAGCTTGGAAACTTGAGTTTTAGCTGAAGAAAGAGGTGTTCCGGTTAGATGAAGACCTATGATATTATCCTGCTACTGGAATTAATTTTAATGCATTCCCTAATAATGACATGAGTCTGTCAGTTTTTATTGCAATTCACTGCTTAAAATTGTGTTACTCTATGGGACACTTTGATGATGCTCCTACAGTGGAAGATTCGTTAATTACTCGCTTCGCTATCACCAATAGTGCAACATTCGAATTCAATGAATCTTTTTGATTGAAACGGTCTTGCAGAACTGCAGGTATCGACTAGTATGTTAAAAGTCAGCGTATGAGAAGCTACAAAAAGGACTGACTGAATCTGTGATATTGATCGGAAGTGTATTACTGTTGACCTGTGCACGAATAAAGGTTTTTGCGATTATATTTGAGGACATGCATAAATTTGCTGATCAAAATTATAAAGGGCGTAATTATAGGTAACAGAGGTTCTCATTTTTCATCATTTTATTGAATGATGTATGTTTCTTGGGTTTGAAAAGGCTTCATCGTTTCTGCGGCTTCACGATATATTAGAGTTCTATCCGTATGCGGAGTCCATCGAGGTCAACACACACCTCAAAATGTAAAGCTGGAAGTTAGAAGATTCACTTTGATGCCAGAAATACAATGCGACTCACGGTTTCCATGTAATTGTTTTATTTAGAGTTTCTAATATTGCTTGTACGGCATGGTTTACTAGCTGCAACATGGGACTCATCCTTAAAGGAATCCATGCAAAGGAATCATAAAATACTTTCATTTGAATCATTTGTACGAACAGATCTGACAGAGGCTCTCAAAGCCTGCCGCTGTCCGGGCCTCCTGTCAGAACTGGTAGATATTTGTGCTATTAAATATAGTTGATATTGTTATTCTCTTGGGACTGATAATACCTTCTTTTGTGAGAAAACTCCGATATATCTTCTTAATCCAAAATAGTTCTCTATAACCAAGCGATATAGTCGAGAAACTCAGATAAAATTTGCTAGTTCGTCTGATTTCTGATCGTGGTCTATGACTACCCATCGTCTTTATTGATCTTTTATTATAGTTTGTTGTCCTGCAGAATGCTTAGGAATCTCTTTCAATACATTTAATCCATCCTTTCTTGTACCCTATCACTAGCTCTCGATGAAAAGTAAAGTGAGACGCAATACCGCTGTTTCTCAGAATGTTGTTTTGCGGAAGTAGACGGCTACCTAATAAACAATAGCAAAAGACAGAAATATTGAAACAAGCATTATCATACTAAAGTGGATAATTCTTCTGAAGCTACATGGACAGTCAGGTGATCTCAGCGTCTACATTAAAAGAGATTTATTTGCTATGAGACATATTATTTGACCTGATGCTATTCATGTATATATCTTTTTTCTATGCTTGCTCGGCATAATATATTACTGATTCCAAGAACACTACACTGTAAAAAAAAAAAAGGAACTGTACAGAATCTCAAAAAAAGGTTCGGTAGATGACAAAAGGCTTGCAAATGTGTTCAAAGTTTCAAAAAAAAAAATAAAAAAATACACGGAACCTTTAAAGGATCTGGCCGTGTGCCCGCAATCCGATCCTTTTTTCTTCGAAACCTTTTTAAGTTCCGTAGACCAAAAAATAGGTTTTTGTAGGAAAATACGAAACCTTTAGAGTTTCGTATTAAACCTCGTGATTTCGTACTGGGCTTCCTGTAAAACTGTTGTATTTAATACGAAACTCTAAAGGTTTCGTATTTTCCTACAAAAACCTATTTTTTGGTCTACGGAACTTAAAAAGGTTTCGAAGAAAAAAGGATCGGATTGCGGGCACACGGTCA